CTTCTTCCAACTGATGACAACTACTCTATCTGCTTCTATAACTTATATGTCAGCTGAACAACAATGGAGTTGCATGGAAACTGTCGTACTCTCCTACTTAAGTTTACAGACACTCAGAGGGTTGATAACCGTGGCTAGAGTCACTGTACCCAACAGTAGTTTGTCTATCATTTCTGATTCATGAGTGAGAACAGTCTTGTGTAAATTTCGTACCACATGGTTATGGTATCATCAGGAATTTGTCACTTACAGACTGTGAGTTTTGTGTGGATGTTTTGGGTAATTGAAGACCTGATTATCTGCAGGGTTTAAATAGTGCAAGCTAGTAGTCTTTCCAGCAAAGATTTGCAGTAAGCTAAGAGATGATGAAACCTGGACAAAATTTACATATTCCCTGGGGCAGACATACTCAAATTTTTCCCTTATCAGGCCCACCTCTGAGTTTTCTAATAATCAATACATCTTTCAAGCACCACGAGCAGGGCCAAAAACATTACTAGTCTGAAACAGGGGAAGGGTGGTGCTTCCAGAGAATGGCCATTAATATTGGATAGTTCATACCTGCTCAAATGTCAATTGGGTCATTTATTATAAAAAAGACAGCTCTTTTTGGTGTATTTTGGAGTACATTCCAGCATACTCCAATGTTAAAATGTGGAGCTCCTACACAAAATGTGTAAAGATTGACAGGTTTGATACAGTCTTTCCTTTTTTGTATTTTTTATCTCACCTTTCACCAAAACCCCGCTGAAATTCTGCCCCACAGTTTGTTGCCTAGGGCACAAATCTCTGCCCTAGGGTATGGTCTGAAGTTTCTGATGCTAAAGAGGGCAAATGCAAGCTTGTGAGTTTGCCATGATGTAGCCAAGCCATCATTTGGACTGAGAGACTTGCCAGAATGACAAGAAGCTCTGCCATTCTAGCAAGTTATCTGTAAGGCAAGCTTAAATTACAGTAAGAAGATAAGACGCTACATGGAAGGGTATCTTCTCAAATTACTGAGTGGTCTTTCAGAGAGGTAAAACTGGAACCATCATCTAAGAATCAGATGATTCATGACCAAACCTGCATGTAGATCCATCAGTGTAAGAAGTAATGGCTTGTTGACAGATCACAAGGTATTCACAACAGTCAACACAGTGGTCTTGGAAGCTTAGCTGCTTGCAAAGTGGATTGGTTGTGATTCAGTAGGACTGGATGTTTCTTGTTGAAGATTCAAGTGTTGATGTGGTTAAATAGTGGAGTGAGTGTGAGGAAGATGGGTATGAAAGGAGGTTTCCAGGAGTGGTAATGGATCAGCAGGTGAAGAGGGGTTTCAGTTTGAGTATATATTTACATTTGCCTGATGCTTTTATCCAAAGTGACTTACAGATGAGACTGAGGGCAGCTGAGAGTTAATGGTCTTACTCGTGGACCCAAACTTGTCAGCTTGCCGGTGCTGGGATTTGAATTTGAACTCACAATCAGTAGCCCAAAGCCTTAACCACTGAGCCATCACTTCTGCAGTGAATGACTACCACTTTATCTTTGAAGATGGTGCCACAGTCTTTTACAGCCAGAAGTGTGGATGGTGGTGGTGAAGGAGGATTGGAAGTAAAGGAAAATGTGCTTGTGGTTGTAGTGTTATTAATCTTGTCCTGATAATAGCTGGCTATTTGTTCAAACTGGTGGGGTCTTTTAATCTGTGCTTTTTCCTCTCAGAGGCCCTGAGTGGACAGAAGAGCGAAGACAGACACTATCAAGGCAAGTGGCTAATGCAGAGCAAAGGGTATCTGCAGATTTATTTACTTTAAGGCATTGGCAGAGAAAATCAGGAAGGTAGAAGTGGAAGAGGGAGTAGAGGTTAAGACAGATTGAAATAAAAAGAAGATGGTTGTAGGGAACGATGGCAAAAAAGATAATAAAATGAATGGAGAAAGTAATGGCAGCATCGTGGCACCATGGGTAGTATTACCTCCTCACAGTTCCAAAGCTTCAATTGGACCAGGGTTTGATTCTGAGTTTGATCCTGAGTTCAGGTTACTGTCTACATGGAGTTCTCCAGTCTCCTGCCCAAAACGTGCAAGTAGATGGACCGTCTACTCTACAACATTACCACAAGTGTGATTGTGCATGCTGCACTGTGATGGACTGGTGTCCGGGAGGGTGTATTCTCACCTCGCTTCTGGTATTGCCAGGATAGGCTCTGGATCTACTGTGATCCTGAGCAGGATAAAAAATGTGATCTGTAGTGAATAGAGTAGTTTGTTTTAGTCTTGATTTCTTATAATCTAACCTATCTATACATATGTTATGAGGTCTTAAAGGTGTGTCTGCAATTCCAGGCTGACATTCTTAATTATAGAGTCCAGGTTTTATAGTTCACAGGCTACTAGCTAATTGTATTTTCAGTCTTTTCTGGTTTTGACCATGGTCTATGTTGCAAAAGAATTTGGATTTGCTTTTACTGAGTATCCCCCATTTTTACAATTGGCTGTCACTTGTTTGTCACGTAATGCATGGGTATAAAGCAATTACAGCAATTATGCAGCCATCATTTTGAAAAGCAGCAAAATAATATCAACTGAACAGCATGTATGTTGAACTTTTTTTTTTTTTTTTTGGTAAGATGTGTTCTGTGTTCTCTGGAGCAGATTATGTGGAGGCCATTGTGGACTGAGAAGATTCCCCTTCCTGTGGCTGTATTCTAGCCAATCCAAGGGGAAACCTTTAACACTGTGCAACCATGCCCTTGTTGTGAACACTCTTGTACACAACATGAACATATGCTTCCTGCAAAGTGCTGTTAGTTCCATTATGGCTAAGTTTAAGCACAATGTAGTGTGTGGCAGAACTCTCCTGGTATAAATGTCTTTTTCACATCTATTCACATCATTAGTCCATAAGAAGCAATCACTCCAAATGCTTTTGATTGTGACTTCTTAGAAGCATCTGAGTGCATTTTAGTTAGCAGGCACTTAAATGTGTCGTTTCATGTTATGTACAACCTGTCGGCTGTGAGGAAGCAGAAGTTGCTATTTAGACAGGCTAATTAGACATACCCGCAGATGTCATACTTCCTGCTCTCTTTTCATGCTGAGAGAGAAAAAACTCGCAGCCCAGGCAAGTACGTTATTCTTGCAGGAAGCCATTGCCACACACATCAACCTTTCCTCATTAGAGTTCACTTAGAGTGAGTCACATAGCCATTTCAGTCTCTTAAATAGACTATTCTGAAAGGGGGAAAAAAAATCACAAATTTGACTAACAGTACTCCAAAGGCTTATCAGGGCACATTTTTTTCTGAGTACTTAGTTTTTGCGTGGGCACATGGAGGTTGGTGGATGTCTTGGTGGATGAGGAAAGTTTTACATTTTCACTTCGCTTGACAAAGGTACATTCAAATCCAAATTAATGAGTAAAGGGTCTGTACTTTCTTTGTATGAGTCAGTCAACTAGTGATTATGTAAGTGATGTGAGAGGCAAAAGTTTTAAAATGATTTGGTCTCAATTGCTTTGAACTTTTTGAAATTTGTTAACCTTAAGACGACAGTACAAATCTAGACTGCCTACATGCATTAGCAAATGTTCGGCATACCATATGATAGATGTGACTTGGCTGTATATTATGGCTTACTTGGAAGGTATTTACTGTGCATATTACAGTATTTCCTTGGTATTTGCATTGTGCGGTGTTAATAGAAAAATGTAACTTATATACAGTTGAGCTCAAAAGTTTACATCCCCCTTTCAGAATCTGCAAAATGTTTATTATTTTACCAAAATAAGAGGGATCATACAAAATGCATGTTATTGTTTATTTAGTGCTGACCTGAATAAGATATTTCACATAAAAGATGTTTACATATAGTCCACAAGAGAAAATAATAGTTGAATTTATAAAAATGACCCC